AGATTTACTACATAGACAATCATGTCATCTATGAACAAAGACAGCTTTATTTTTCCTTTTCAATCTTATATCTTTTATTTCCTTTTCTTGTCTTACTGCATTAGATAAGACTTCCAGTACAATGTTGAAAAGAAGTGGTGAGTGGGGGGATCCTTGCCTTGTCCCTGATGGCAGTGGGAAAGTTTCTAATTTTTCACCATTAAGTGTGATATTAGCTGTAGGATTTTTGTAGATATTCTTTATCAAGTTGAGGAAGTTCCCCACTATTTCTAATTTACTGAGAATCTTCTTTGTCATGAATGCATGTTGTCAAATGCTTTTTCTGTATTTATTAATTGTGGTATTTTCCTTTTTTAGCCTGCTGATGTAATAGATTATATAAATTCATTTTTGAATGCTGAACAAGCCTTGCATATCTGGGGAAAAATCCTACTTGGTAGTGGTGTATAATTCTTTTTATGCATTGTTATACCCAATTTGCTGATATTTCATTGAGGATTTTTGCACCTATGTTCATGAACTATTGGGTTTTTGTCTTCTTTCCTTATAATGATCTCATCTGGTTTTGGTGTTAGGATAATGCTGGCATCACAGAATGAGTTAGGAAGCATCCCCTCTGCTTCTATCTTCTAAAAGAGATTACAGAGATTTAGTATAATTTCTTCCTTAAATGCTTGGTAGAATTCACCAGTGAACTCATCTGGGCCTGGTGTTTTCTGTTTTGGAAAGTTATTCATTACAATTTTGTCTATACTTGCCCAAACATCATAGTGTCATATTTATACGTCTTCATATTCAGTAACATCTAGAACTTTTTTCATCTTCAAGATCATTTTCACCATTCCCATTCTATTGCATTTCCATATATATTTTATTATCTATTTGATAATCCCCATACCTGAAAAAACAAACACACAGAAAACTCTTCAGTGCTTGCTTCTTCTACTTCTCCTTCCCTTCCCAAACAATTTCATCTTAAATCATTAGGTAAAGAACAAGAGAGGTATCCACAATGGGTGAAGCAGGCTAGCTTTGGTGGCTTAGAGAAGCATGTGAGAGCCCAAGCAAGTGGATTGGAAGTCCATAAAGAAGATGGAGGGTGAGGGCAGTATGACATGGGGCCTCAGAGCCAACACAGGGTAATGAGGGCATCCATATGGGGAAAAGGAGGAAATGAATGTCATGAATTGGTGATATAAAGAGCTATGCATTAAATAAGTAAATATACTAAAGATAATAGAAGCCAGGGTTTTCACTGTCAGAGTAGGGAATTAGATATACAGAAAAGGACAAAACTAGAATGCGTTCTGTTGTGTTGGACTGCAATTTAAGGTACTAGTATAAGGTCAGATTTTTAAATACACAGTTAGATTTTGTGTATATAAATATATGTATTCCTTTTGTACATTGAGAAAGCCTAAAAGTAATTAATATTCTAATATCAATGTGCACACGTTGCGTCTAGGTCTTGACTCCATTTTTCACTAAAAGGAACCAAAACTCCTTGGAGAGATGACAAATTCCTGGGAAAAGACAGAATGTACAAGATGGACCTGGAACATCTTTTGTGCCACAAAGGAAGAAAGTGCTCAAAGAGTAATGAGAGCATGTCAAGTCAGCTTGAACGAGCTTCCACTGGCCAAATTGGGGACAATCTGAACATCAAAATAAACAATGAGAAAAGTAGAAAACAGCCTATTGGATGAAATAGAAAACCATTTGATATTTACATATTTCCAAAGTACCTTCCCACAAAATACTTATTAATTACAAAGGGGAAAACAGTAAATTTATAGTGAAGGAGCTTGGCAAGATACTACCTTAATCAAGCAATCAAAGAGATCATTACTGATAATAGGACAAACTGAAAGTGTGCAGCATCTGATAGGATTCATTAAGAATCCAGCATAACTTCTGTCTTATTCCTCCAAAAGATGTACACTCTGAATCTAATTGTGAGGAAACACCACGCAAATCTGGCTTGAGAGACATTATACAAAATAATTGACCTGTAACCCTCAAAAGTGTCAAGGTCATGAAAGACAAGGAAACTAGGAAATGCTTCGTACTGAAGAATACTAAAGACAAATGACAACTAAGTCTGATTCTAAAGAGATCATTGTCTATGAAAGACATAATTGAGACAACTTAAATGAGGTGAAACTTAAATGAGGTCTGAGAATTATATAGGCAATATAGGGTTTCTGTTTCGGTAGTAATTAAGGAAAATGTCTTTGTAGGAAGTAGACAAACTATTTGGTACTAGTAAGGCATTAGGTCAGCAACTTGCTCTCAAAGTTAAGGAAAAAATTTCTTTGAATATGTTTCTAATTTTCTGTAATTTTGATTGTTTTAAAATACATACACATTCATAGACATAGATATAATAGATATAGATATTAAGCCTGCTAAGATTTTTACTGGGCATGCTTAGTTTTGATATATCAATTTGAGGAATATTAATATCTTACCAATATTTAGTCTTTCAATCTATGAACATGGTATATTTCCCTGTGTAGCTGTTCTTTCAATAATATTTAGTATCTCTCTGGACAGAGGATTTGCTCTTCAGTTAGATTTATGCCTGAATATATGACCTTTTCATATAATTTTAAATAGTATATTTCTTTATTTTACTTCCTATTTTTTTGTTGCTGACTGATAGATATGCAATTGATTTTTGGCTGTCAACCCTGTATCCGATAACCTTGCCAAATTATACAACACACCTAATAAATCACTTGCAGATTCTTTTATATTTTCTTCATACCCAATCATAGCCCCTATAAATAAGAATATCTAAACTTTATGCTTTTGTTATTTTTCATGCTATATTTAGCTGGCTAGTTTCTTCAATATATTTTTAATAGAATTTAAAGGACATCCCTACTTACTCCCAATCTCAGAAGGAAAGAGTTAGTTCAACATGGTACCATTAAGTATGATGTTTATTGTATTCCCTTTATCGGTAGAGGCTATTCCCTTAATCCATTTCTAGTTTGCTAAAATTTGCTCATGAATAGATATTGAAATTTGACTGCTTCTTCTGCATTAAGATTAAGATTTTCTTCCTCACAACATGCTTATTTTGTAGTCTTCATTTGATAATCCTATTGTTTAAAGTGCTTTAAGATCTGAATTCACTCATTTGTGTTTCTGCTCTTTCTTGTGTTGGATTTTCTTTGTCTTCATGTATTTTGTAGTTTGTAGTAAATTTAAATAAATATGTATAATTTTATATAAAACTTTATATTTTGGGTTTTGTCAGTGAGAATAATGTTTAATCTAGATTTTAGGTGCCTCGTTTCAAAGAAGTTTTACAATTGCTTCTGTTGGGTATTCCCAAAGTATTACCAGCTCAGGATGACTTTAAGGCATAATTCCTAGATCATTTGGGTCATTTACATTCAAATCTCCACTTCAATGGAGTAGGCCAGTGATTATGATATCCCATTCAGAACTTTTTACTTGATTTTATTTTTCAGTCAGTGCTTAGAGAGGGAAGAACTGCCTTGCTGACCCACTTTGACAATGTGTGAACATTTTTCCTAGTCCACCTACGCACTGAAATCCAACTTTATTCAGAGTGTGAGATCCCACACCTCACCTAGGGTATACCTCATCTTCAACGTCACATAGATATTAACATCTAAGCCCCATGGTTACAGAGACCAGAAATCCCCATCTCCAGCTCTACCCTCAGAGCAGTCAACACTTCTGCTCGACGTTCACTGTTTCAACATCCTCTTCATTTCTGGCTCCTAGGGATTTTCCTTACGTTCTTGCCAGGGCAACTATTTATTTAAATAGGTCATTTAAGTATTGTTATATTTTCTCCAGCAATTCTACATGTTTTATAATAGGAGGCTTTCAGATTAACTAATCTACACATATCACTAGGATTGGAAATTCTACCTTTCTCAGCCTCAGTTTCCTCATCTGATATAGAAAATTAATAAGGTAAAATATGTAAAGTATCTGGTATATAGATAATAAAAGGAAGCTGCTATTTTTATTAGTATTACGTCATAGTTATTTAGCTTGCTAACTGTATCTGTTTCTTACTTCTGTCTATTATACGTAACACTTCAATGTATACACACGAGTATAAATACTTGTTCTTTCATGATTATTTCTTGAGATTAAATGCCAAGAAAAATCATTCCTGGATCAAAGGATATGTTCACATTTTAAGACCCTTAATATACATTTTCAAGTTGTCCTCCAAAAAGATTTAGCAAACTGCCTTTACACTAGTAGTGTATTAGAGTGCCCATTTTATTCTCTATTATCACTAACACCAGCTAACAAAATTTTCAAAGTGTTTTCCAAATTAATAGGCAAAAATTGTACTCTGATTTAAGATTAGTAATCCTTTGATTGCTATCATAAGGGCTAAGCATACAAAATATTAACAAGAGGTAGAGATTATAGAATTACTAGCAGAGAAAGACACACTTTGTGAGTTGAGAGTATATCTAATTGCATAAGATACCAACATGTGGAACTTGGGAGGCTAGGCTTAAAGGATGTAAAGAGTGCCTGTGATTGCAAAAGAGAGAGAGAAGTTTAGAACATAAGATCAAGATGATGCAAACTTCTGGCACATGTGCCAGTACTTCCCTTTCCCAGACTCATCAGATAGGCCTTGTTGATCACAGAATTCTTACTCACTGAGCTTGAAAGCAGCCTCGGTACCCTTCTCAACACAGCACTCCCAAAAGCAATTGATTACATTTGGTCCACAAGATAAAGCCTCCTTATTTTTCTTTACTTAGATTACAATTTTTAGGTCATGACAAGAGGAAAAAAGTACGTAATATTTAATGTTGCTTTGCATTTGAACCAATACAATTTACAAATGCTATTCTTTGTCAGGGTTTATTTATCTTGCACAGAGCCAGCCTCATAATCATTGTTGGGAAATTCTCCTCTCTTAGAGTAGGACAAAAGGAAAGAGACACTACCTAAAATGCAGGAGATAATCGAAACAATGGTACCTGAGTCACTCAGCTAGAGAATGGGATCCCAGTGGGAAGAGGAGTGTAATCTGCAAACTTTTAGTAAAGGTTATTCCCTTTGTGAAATCAGGTGGAGGGAGGGAGGGAGTAAACATCGGCTTCAGTCATCTTTCCCTTTGGCCTGTGAAGCCTCAGGTCACAGTCATCAGAACTCATCAACCTCAAATGCTCTCTGAAAAAAAGCAAAGGCATTCCCAAATGACTGCCAGGCAGTGAAGCCTTTAACTGCATTGAGACCTTATTTTTCACCTCAGCATCAGTTCTGCATGGAGAGGAGCTCCCCAGAGGGCTGTTCTGAAACAGAGGTTTCAATCCAGGAGCCCTGGAAGGGAGTTTCTTTCTGTGCTGGGGCTCAGTTTTCTTGACCGAAATGCTGATTTGTAGGATAATCAACTACTATATAAGGGGTCAACCTGGACTGGATCACAGTTGTTAAAAACCCAATCTGAGAGCATTCAAATCCCCTCTCCCCCATTTATTTTTTGTTTTTGGCATCTTACTCTTGGGTGCTGCTATAAGGGTTGTCGGTTGAAGTATATATAGTAGTAAGACAGTAAATGAAAGGACATATATCATAAAATTTAACCACCACCAAGGGAATTTTTCCAATATAAAGAAAAATGTTTATTATTCTTCTCTTTTTAACCTAAGCATTTAGATGATTAGCCAAGCACACACTTTCTGGCATTTTAAACCAATCAAATGAGTTCTCATAACCTGGAGATCATCTAAACAATGGTAGCTGAGTTACCCAGCTAGAGAATGGGATACCAGTGGGAAGAGAATGCAATTGGATGATCTGCAAACATCACCTGACCTTTAGCTAAGGTTATTTCCTTTGTGAAACCAGGAAGACGGGATTCCCTGATTATTGCTATCCCCCCCAAAATTCCCCCATAATCCTTTCCATTATGGGGCAAATTCACTTATTCCAGCATATAATTCTCTAACCCCATAAACCACACTCTCTCGTGACACTTGACCATGTAAAAGTACACACACACACATACACATACACACACATATACACACACGCCTCTACCTCATCCAGTTTCATATATCCCACCTTCAGCCAAGATAGGACCATCATTTTCTCAGGTAGGGTGGGGAGAGGTTTTAGATGGTTAGGGCAGACAAAGAGAGGGCACAGAGCCCCCCAAGAGAGGGAGGAGTCTGGCCTCAGTATGTATTACTTTAAGGACAACCAAAACTTTGCACTGTACCTGGACATGATGATGGTGCATGTCTGTAGTCCCAGCTACTTGTAAGACTGAGGCAGGAGGATCACTTGAGGCCAGGAATTCGGAGCAGTCATGGGCTATGATGGCACCTGTGAAGAGCCACTGCACTCCAGCCTGGGCAACATAGCAAGACCCCATTTCTAAAAAAAAAAAATGAAATAAAACAAACCAAAAAAACCTACAACTTTGCACTGCAGAGATGAACCCCCGGTAGTATAACTCCTCTACTTACTATACTAAAAAAAAAAGTCACTGTCTCCCCCTTCACCCTCGAGTTTAATTTTAAAAGGCCCCATTCTATTCTTAGCATCCATTGCCTTCCATATGGGACTCTCTGGAAAGGGGAAGAAAACACATCTAGTTACACACATGCTCTACTCTAAGCTGGAAAGCCCCCACCCTTTCTTCTTCAGCTGACAAACCCCTCCTCATCCTTCTCTCTCTGCTCAAATCCTCTGTGAAAATGTGGAATGCCCCTGGGAGACTCGGGGATTCCTCCCTAATGTTTCTTCTGGAATCTATTAAGCTCTAATTACATTCCCCCATGCCTGCCCACATGTCTGCCTTCCGGCTGCACTGTGAGCTCATGAAGGTCAGAGACCCTTGTTTCTGATCTTCCTTTCTCCAGCATCGAGCCCACTGTTAGGTACTAGGATGGCAAATGATCAATGTTCTTGGATGGTTGGATGGATGAATCCCCCTGATGATAGCCTGTCCTAATATCAAGTACAAATCTTACTGTGGAAAGGCTGGAAAGACCCACAAGACTCATAGTGTTCAATGCCCTCTTTTCAAAGATGAGGCTGAGAGAAGTGACTTAATTAAGGCCACACAGTGAGTAGCTGGCATGGGCTATCTGTAGATTCACAGCCTAGTCCTCCTTCCACTAGAAAAACTACTTTTCATTCATTCATGGTAAAGAAAAAAAAAAAAGACATACTGAGCACATCCAATGTGACAGGCCCTGCCGATACCATGGTGAAAAAGGTAGAGGTGGTTTCTTCCTCCTGCAGCTTACAGTGGGGTGGTGGAGGTGGGGGAGGTCGGGGAGCGGGTGGCGTGGGATACAGGAAGTATTTAGACAAGCAGACAGGACCAGGAATTGGGTTAAGATGGGTCATTTTCTGACTTTACTTAAAATGTTGATATTTTGTTCACCAAGGATTTTTAGTAGTAATTTTGATGTTTTAAAAATATTGCATTAAAATACTTTATCTTGATTCTTTAGTTTTTGGCACCCTTTTTCATTTTGTTCCTGAGGCAAGTACCTCATTCATGTCACCCTAGTCCTTGTCCTATAAGTAACAATATAGTAACTATAGAAGTAACTATAAGTTACTTAGAGTAACTTATAATCATATTATAAGTAACTGTAAGAATTTAAATTAAGAAGAAAGCAAATGACCAAACCTGTCTGACATACATCTTTGGAGAACTTTTATAATTTTCTACAGTTATGGGCCTATTCCTGAGTGGGAAGGGATTTTATATGACAAGCATGGATTTGTTAATTCATTGCATAATTGCTGAGACGACATACATTTCCCAGCTTATAAAGTCATCTCTTAAAATGTGCCAGTTTATGAGGTAATTTTTGTGGCCCTCAACTAATTATGCAAAATCATTTAAAGTAAAGTCTCAGACCTGCTGGCAGCTTCCATGATCAACATCCACACCGTGATTCGTGTCACAAGGAAGATTTCACAAGGTTGACTTAAGGCACATTCATCGAGTAAAACAGGAGTTTTGTTCACATACCAATGTATTCTTTTGAAGTTCCCCAATATTATATTATTACCAATGATGACATCAACATTAAAATGGATTAAAGAATACAAAGTAAAAAAATAAAACTAAGCAAAAATGCCAAGTGCTTACCATAAACAGGCAATTACTGAGGCCTCTGAAAACACAGCAAAACTGCTGATCATAAGAATAGTGGCTGAAATACCAACGGTATACAATGCATGTGCCACACTGAAGCTGCTTACAGGTGCCCCCTGATTTTAAGGTGACTGTTTGATCCAATGGTCACAGCTAAGGGCACAGAGCCAGATCTACAGATCATGTGCTGGCATCGCCACTAGCCTGCAGAATGACCTTGGGCAAGCTATTTGACCTTTCCGTGTGTCAATCACACAGCTAATGTAGTAGCTGCTACATTCCCAGTAACTTGTTGGAAGCAGGCTTCTTTAAGAAAACATACAAAATACTTTCTCATAAAGAACTAGAAAGTGTCATGTTGAAAGCTCAAAGAGGATCTGTCTCACAAGTTCTTGTAAAGAATGGCCAGTGAAGAATACTATTGGATCATGACCCTTTGTAACAATGGAGATCCAAAGGCAATTTAAGGACAACTTACCCATATCAACATTAAAATACCTAAGAAGAATACAAACAAGAAAATAGAACTTGCTTATGTTAATGGGGTTAATGACTGGCCTTTCATGTGTGAACCCTCATGGAATATTGGCATTGATTCTTTTCTCAAAACAAAGAATCTGCCTGGGTTCAAATTCCAGCAAGGCACTTATTGACTGTGAGGCTCGGACAAGTTATGTGAGCATCTGTGTCAAGTTCATCTCATAGCATCACCAATCTTCTTCATTGGATTTTCTGAGGATTAAACAAGATAGTGCACCTAGAAAGCAGTGAGTACAGTGCTAGGCATGTAGAAAGCACACGGTAAGTGCAAGTGAGATGGAGAAAGAGGATGAAAAAACTGAAGATACTCTCTGATTCATTTGAATTCCTCCAACCACCTAGAACAATGCCTGGCACAGAACAGGCATGAATGGATGTTTGGATGAATGAGCACTTATACATTCCAAGTACTATATTAAAATGAAGGAGAAAGAGTAAGAAAGACATGAGAAAGGGATAAAGATAGAAAGCAAGAAATATATGTGTCCCCCACCAAGGGCCAGGCCATTTATTACTGCCCATAATTCCATATATATTTTAACCAGTGGATCACTTCTCCTTACACACAAAACGGTCAGTCGGGTGCACTTCCCTAAGTTCTGCCCAGTGAGGGAATTTTGCCTTGTCACTGTCTTTCAAGGCCAATCTCCAGACTGCAAAGCAGTTGTCATCATTTTCAGCCTGCCCCCACATACCATGTTAACCCATCCATAAACCAGGTTTGAGTTCTTTCCTCCTCTCTCAGCTGGTCCTAAAGGATAGCTCATACAGCCAGAGGTATATGCAGAGGCAAGGGCTTTCATGCAAAAGAAGATGACACTGATTTCCGCACTACCTACTTGGGCACCTTGCTTGTACCCTAGTCCTATTCATGCTCAACCCCAGATACACCACATCCACCTTACAATGTATTCTTGGGCACATCTAATCTTACTACTTGGTGAGTATAGGGACAGCTAATTATAGGCAATTCCAGACACATGGTATCCCAGTAACTCATGATGCTCGATCTCTACCAAGGTCCAGTAGCATGGCAGGAGTTGTTCTTCAAAGGGTGCATAAAGGCATATTATTCTTGATCTAGAACAACGAATAGCCTATGTTGTGCTTTTCCCATTGAGGCTTGACATAGATCCACGTGGCATCTTTTTCTATTGCTGTTACCTTTAATACCATGGGCTCTTCAAGGTTGTGTAGCCCAAACAGCAGGTTGTTTTCACCATAGCCTGGTCCTGCTACAAAGCCTTTTTCCACTCTGGGTCCCAGTCAGACCTGGCAGCCTTTTGAATGATTTGGTAAACGGACTGGAGCAATATTCTCAGATGCGGAGATAGGTTGCTTTCAGAACACAAAGAAGCCTACCAGACATTGAAGGAAAGTGCAAGATACATAATTTCTGTTTTACTTTGGAGAGGGTGACCTGAGCTGCCTTTCCCCCTGCTGAACCTCTAGATATTTTACTGATGTGTCTGTCCCTGGATCTTTACAGGATTTATCATCTATTCACTGGAGAGCATGTGTCTTGCCAAAGTCTCTAGCATGCTAGCCACTTCTTGTTCATTGGGCCTGATTAGCATAATGAAATCAATGCAGTAGATCAATGTGATGTTCTGCCTAATGACCAGATGGTCCAGCTCTCTTCGGAGGGCAAGAGAGTTAACAAAGCTCTCAGGCAAAATTGTAAATGTATATTACTAACCACTATATATGAATGTAAACTATTTCTGATTTTCTTTTCTCATTGGAATAGAAAAGAATGTGTTTGCCAAATCAGTGGCCACATGTCATGTTTCTGAGGTCATGTTAATCTATCCTTGCAAAGATACTGCATCTGGAACAGCAGCCATGATTGGGGCTTCAGCATGGTTGGTTTTCTGAAGATTTTTTTTTTATTTTCCAGGGCACATGAGGTTTCTCCAGGGGTCAGAGTGGTAAACTAATTGAAGATATAGGGGCTGCCACTCCTGCATCATTTTGATGCTTAAAAGTGGCACAAATTATAGCTATTCCTCCCCTATCTGTCCTGGAATGCAGTATTGCTTTTGATTTGCTCTACTTTGTTGAGGGGTGTGAGGGGAGTTACACTTTCAGAGCTTTCACTTAGTTTTCCCCACTATGACACCCCTTACCCCATGGGTTGTCCAATGTGTGGCTCGTGGCAGCTACTAAGTATGATAATCCCAATTTTACATTAAGAGTGAGAGGAAATGACTATCAGGTGGGTCTATTACTTAAATGGACCACTGTAAACAGGACTTTGGCCAGGACTGTTTATTACCTGGATCCCATATTCACTTCACTCTGAGTCTCCAAGTGTCAATATAAGCACCAGGTCTCCAACCATCTGTGTTAAGTTGGGCCCTGTGTCCAAGAGTCCTCAAAAGTTTGGTATTCCTCTTTTCTCCAGCACATAAATACAAGCGTACATGGCCATAGGTCCCACTGTGGAAGCACTGGGAAAACCATTACTGTGTATCTTTGCCACAGCATTACAGGGTCGTTCCTTCTGACGACCCAGCCCCCTCATCAGTCAATGCATTCTGAGTTTGAAAACCAAATCAGGTCTGAAACCTGGACAAATAATCAAGACTTTATATTAGAGCAACTGTCCTCAGCCTCCTGGGGTTTCTTTTCATGATACCCTTGTTGACTGCATAGTACACCTATTGGCAGCTGTCTCCTTTACTCCTAGGCCTTCTGTGTTTCATTAAGCATATCTCAGCCCTGTGGATCAGGCCC